GCATTCTGACCTTTGTCTTGGGATGTGCCAGGTGAGTTAGGGCTGCATGTAATGCAGCAGCTCAGATGATCTCATCTGTTGACCTGTTTTGCCTTTGTGCAGACTGATGTTGACCAAGATCAGGGGCTTGCCGGCTTTAGTGAGAGCCAGCACCTGGCTCTCCAAGTACTTCATTACTATTGGAGTGAAGGCAACAGGTCCTCAGTTGCGTACTTGTACCTGTACATATCCTTACACCCACCTGAGGTCATTCTGGCCTCAGCTCTTGGGAAGGAGCTGCTTTTCAGGCTCATGGTGTGTGGAGTGAGCAGCATCTCGGTTGATGCTCTGGGCCCCCTAGGGGAGTCGGTTCCGGTAGAGCTGCTCCTGGCCTGCAAACTCTGTGCGGTGCGGTTCTCCCCACCTTTCCTAGAGCTTTCCTGTCAGTGACTGCAGAAGCTGGGGTGCCGCAGTGAGGATGCTCTCTGTGGTGCAGAGATGGAAATTGACCAGAAGCTTTTGAGGTAATTGGACCTTTCTCAATTTTTTGGGGAAAAAAAGAGATGCAGTCGGGTTTTTTTATGCTAATTGGGAGATATTCAGCGACCGAGTCAGGTTCTCTATAATGTGAACTACACTCTGATCGAGAGGGCTGGTTCAATAGCCCACACTGTGTTTGAACCCAAACAGAACCTATATCTGACCCCCACCTTTAATGTATATAAAATAAATATACACTCACCTAAAGGATTATTAGGAACACCTGTTCAATTTCTCATTAATGCAATTATCTAATCAACCAGTCACATGGCAGTTGCTTCAATGCATTTAGGGGTGTGGTCCTGGTCAAGACAATCTCCTGAACTCCAAACTTAATGTCAGAATGGGAAAGAAAGGTGATTTAAGCAATTTTGAGCGTGGCATGGTTGTTGGTGCCAGACGGGCCGGTCTGAGTATTTCACAATCTGCTCAGTTACTGGGATTTTCACGCACTTCATTTCTAGGATTTACAAAGAATAGTGTGCAAAGGGAAAAACATCCAGTATGCGGCAGTCCTGTGGGCGAAAATGCCTTGTTGTTGCTAGAGGTCAGAGGAGAATGGGCCGACTGATTCAAGCTGATAGAAGAGCAACTTTGACTGAAATAACCACTCGTTACAACCGAGGTATGCAGCAAAGCATTTGTGAAGCCACAACACGCACAACCTTGAGGCGGATGGGCTACAACAGCAGAAGACCCCACCGGGTACCACTCATCTCCACTACAAATAGGAAAAAGAGGCTACAATTTGCACGAGCTCACCAAAATTGGACAGTTGAAGACTGGAAAAATGTTGCCTGGTCTGATGAGTCTCGATTTCTGTTGGGACATTCAAATGGTAGAGTCAGAATTTGGCGTAAACAGAATGAGAACATGGATCCATCATGCCTTGTTATGACTGTGCAGGCTGGTGGTGGTGGTGTAATGGTGTGGGGGATGTTTTCTTGGCACACTTTAGGCCCCTTAGTGCCAATTGGGCATCGTTTAAATGCCACGGCCTACCTGAGCATTGTTTCTGACCATGTCCATCGCTTTATGACCACCATGTACCCATCCTCTGATGGCTACTTCCAGCAGGATAATGCACCATGTCACAAAGCTCGAATAATTTCAAATTGGTTTCTTGAACATGACAATGAGTTCACTGTACTAAAATGGCCCCCACAGTCACCAGATCTCAACCCAATACAGCATCTTTGGGATGTGGTGGAACGGGAGCTTCGTGCCCTGGATGTGCATCCCACAAATCTCCATCAACTGCAAGATGCTATCCTATCAATATGGGCCAACATTTCTAAAGAATGCTTTCAGCACCTTGTTGAATCAATGCCACGTAGAATTAAGGCAGTTCTGAAGGCGAAAGGGGGTCAAACACCGTATTAGTATGGTGTTCCTAATAATCCTTTAGGTGAGTGTATATATATATGTGTGTGTGTGTGTGTGTTTGTATATATGTAGGTATGGTTGTGCAAATGGGCATGAGTTGTTTGGGCTGGGATGTGCTGTAATAGATTAAGGTTACAGTAGTGAATGTGCAGTATGGATTTTTGTTACACTTATGATCCCAGTGTGTGTGTGGGGGGGGGGTCTTAGACTGGGAGGGGTCAGGCCATTCAGCAGTGAAAATGCCTGGTGGAAAAGCTGTTTTAATAATAATAATAATAGATACTTTATTGATCCCCGTGGGGAAATTGTCTTTACGCCTCCCTCAACTTGCTCTTTGTAGAGTAAGTTGTCTGCGAAGGGCAGCCACCTGTTGGGGCGCCCAGGGAGCTGGGGGTTAAGGGCCTTGCTCAAGGACCCACAGACATGCTGAGGCTGGGTTTGAACCGGCGATCTTGTGATTACACGTACACAGGCTTAGCCCACTGAGCCACACGCTGCCCCCAAACCTACCTGTCTGGGCTTTGAGGCTGTAGAACCTCCTACCAGATGGCAGTGGGGCAGAGATCCTCAGTAAAGTCGCGACGAGAAACGTGATGTGTAGAGCGGGTTCTGCTCACCCGCAGGTTCTAATGAAATGCGCAGTCACTCCCTTTGTCTTGTCGTCGTTGAGCAGCAGACTGTGGGCCTTGCACCACTCCACCAGCTCGCTCACCTTCTGTCTGTATGCTGGCTTAACTCCACCACTTATTAGCCTGATTATGGTGGAGTCTTCTGCATGCTTTGCCATGATGTGGATGGAGATGGTCCTGCTGGAGCAGTGTGAAGAGCAGGGGGCTGAGCAGCGGCCTTGGGGAGTTCCCGTACTTGGGATGATGGGGCAGAAGTGATGATTCCTACCCTGACAGACTCCAGGATCCAGTTGCAAAGTGATGTTTTCAGTCCAGGATGGGACAGCTTTTGCATTAGTTAACTGTGTTGAATGCCGAACTTCGCAGTCACTTTTGTCCAAAGTGATGTACAATTGAGAGAACAGGGTCAGCCTGGAGAATTTGGGGTTAAGGGCCTCACTCAAGGGCCCATTTTTGGAGTTCTGTGTGACATGATGTCAAATTTGGCTTTTTTCTCTGCTTTTTTGTGTTGTTCCAATGCACATAAAGGAAATAAACGTGTGCATACCAAAATATTTGTAATTGCAACAATTTTCTGGGAGAAATTGTGCATTTTCTAGAAAAAATCCAGGGGTGCCAATAATTTTGGCCATATAACAACATATATAAACATAACATTAATTCAATCAACCTTCCAGTCATGGACTACAGAATACCAACTACAGAGCCACATACCACCCCTGTTATGCATGCAAATAATTTGGTTGTATTACTCCAGCTAAACTTGAATATAATATTAGAAAATCTGACGAATAGGTAATCTCCGGGGTCATTAAATCTGTTCATGCCGTTTGGATAATTCTTGCTTGGATAATTCTTGGACAAGTCTTTCATTCACTCTACCAACGGTAAACATGGAGCTTCTCATTTATATGTACACCACAAGGTGGCAGTATTATAATTTTAAAAATGTTACAAATGAAACTGTATAAACACAGTCACAGGCGCGGGAACACAGTTTCAGCTCAGGGTGGTGAAAGCCGGAATGATCAATAGACTTCACTTAAGTTCTTTTGTATCATCGTTAGCAATTTACAGCTAACAACAAGCTAGGAAGTATGACAATATAGATTTGTTTTTTTAATATGGGTATGGCAATGCTGCCCTACAGTATTCTGACACTGCAGTACCACCAATAACCAGAGGGGGGGCGAAAACTATGACTAGAGGACTGATGAGTTGTAGATAAAAATGCTGGAAAGTCTTCAAGCTGACTGAAAAAAATGACGTATGACAAGAATAATGCAGAATATCCTTAAATTTTAGTTGAAATCAAGTATTGTAGCTAACATCTTAGGGGCTGATGGTGGCAAAATTCGTTTGTACATTATTTTATTAATCACGAAACATTTTGAGTAACTGTCAATCATTTTTGTATATTGATTTTAAAGTGGAAGATGTTCCTTACAAAGAAAATGTGTTTCGTAATAGCGTTTGTTAAATGTAAACTGCATTTAAAAGCTTAACTTTCTATGCGGGGAATTGCATACCTTAAGTAGAACAATAGACTAGGAATTAAACATTCAGGGAAATAAAAGTAATGATCGCGTATTTTTAGAAGGACGTGGTATAGATTTATTTCGATAACAGAAGTCCTTTGGTTGACTCCTAAAATTTATGTTGTGAGACAATTTAGGCAAAACATACACCATACGCCGTACACGGTGTTTATCGGGAGATGTCAAACATAGAACACGCCTTCCCAGGCTGTTTAACTGTTCTCCCATTGGTTAACTGCCATTCTGTGCTTCTCGCGGATTGGCTAAAGTCATGTAAACATCTTTGCCCCATGTGCGTTGCATGTGAACAGCATAAGAAATGTTTTAATGCAAGCTAACATTTTGTACTTGTTTTTGCGTGTCCCAAATGGGCTGCTTCAAAGTATTTACGGTACTGTTTGAGAATGGGGCAACGATACGCTGTTGTGATGAAATTACACTTCTGTTTGTATAATTAGTATTTCATTTACATAGTCTGTATTCTACGAATATACATCACAAAGTAAAATGATGTTTGCGTGAGTAATAACGTTCCTTTCAGGCCATCTGGCATATTGGGCACCCCCCGGCTAACCCCACATCGACAAAGTTAATCGATTTGTCGTGGGACTCCCTTCCCCCCACCCCATGGTTCTTTTATAGTGCTGATGGTTCATCAGAGTATAATATAAAAATATAATACATACATTTCAAAGGAATAAAAGTATATAATATATGAAGATGTGTTTTAAATAAGGCTTTAAATGTATTCATTTTGGGGGGGTATTTTATCTTGATTGGTCATTGCATTCTCATCTTACACATCAATAAACAGTATTAGCGTTATTCAGAAGAAAGTCTTAGCTTTGTGGCTGAGCTTTTAGTCTTTAATCTCGAGGAGTTCTTTAACAGGATTTAGAATTTTTGCGCGCGTTTTCTCCCGACATTACGGTAGGTGTACTTAATGATCTTCATGCGAGGTGACATCCACTCTAAGCGCGGCGGTAGAAACGAGAGGTTCTCCAGCGCTGTATCACGCACTGCCTTTGAAGACCACAGGTCATGGTTCACAAATATGAGTTTAACTGAAGACAATACGATGGCATCCTCACCCCGTGAACTAACTCAGAACCCGCTGAAAAAAATCTGGATGCCATGCAAAAATGGTCTTCCAGAAAAAAACATTTGCCAAAGGAAGGGTAAGTCACGACGCCTTTGCCGGCGAACGGCGGGCGTGTTGCAGAATAGTGTTCGCGTGGGTGACGTCTCTGGGCGCGAGGTAATAATCACTTTTTGGCACGCGACTCTAAGTACTTTCATGGTTAAATTACGGCTGTACGTTTTTGATCATGGTGCAGCACTTCTCGTTTGTGGCTGCTTGAATGCGCATTGCATCATTTCTTTTGACTTCGATGTGAGATTCGCTAGATTCTCACAGTTGCCAAGACGATTTAAAAATGTTAAATAGGAATGATGAGCGAAAGATATGAACACGTGTTCACTCAGATTTAGAGTTAACTATAGTTTGCTGACAATACGAAAGTTTACGAATTTTCCATGAGTGGGATTTAAAAATGCAGCTTTTCTGTGCGGAGTTTTACTGTTGGATATTGCGATCACCTGTTTTTATGCATCAGGCTGTGACGTAACGAGTGACGTCAGCGCCGGATTGATTATGAAGCCGGTTACCAACTGTGTTTTTTTTTCAATGGGCCCTCTACTCGTTGTTCTTATCGATGCATAGCAAGTACTGTCTTTTTCTCCGAAAGTAGACTGTCTTAACTCATGAAGCACACTTCTGGACACCATTATTCGTCTAGTCGCAGCTCTCAGGTCCTTATCCCGTCAAACGACAATTGAGTAATATTTGGGAGCCTTCAGTTTACCTTTTAAAATCTTATCGTATACAGTGAAACATTTAGTATGTTTTCAGGTATAAAAAAGCGTGTGTTCATCACCGTGTTCCGGCCTGCTAAGGAATGAATGATAAAATGGTAAATTCATGTAACCCCGAGTAGATACAATGTTCCTCTCAGGTTACAGTAAGTGGACAGGTCCGTACCCCTCCCCTCCCAGCCATGACTATTTACATCCCCTCCTCCCACCTGTATTGATTGTTTTCAGGGTAGGTTCCCCTCATCAAAAGCCCCCCATCTGGCTCAGCAGACTGCCTATTTAGCCTCTTTGTTTTATTAGTTGTGCCTAATTAACATGTGGTATCCTAGAAACTGCCACACTGACTGTTGTGTCAACTTTACTTGAATCCCACCCCCCCCCCTTATCTAATTAAAGTAAACCAGCCTGCAGCATTGACTGAGTCCCTGTTGTTCTTGTTCTGCTGGGCCTGAATGCTAGGTAGTTGTCCAGGGCTCTGATCCAGGATAAAAGCCTCTCGTAACTGTACCAGTGGTAGCATCAGTTGTTATTATTATTTTTTTGTATGTGGTATTTACTATCTGCTTTGGTGCAGTTTTCTGATTGATAATGGGTTTCTCTCTCCTGAAGTCTCTGATTAATGCCTCACTTGAGATTCCTGCCCATCCTCTTGTTTGTAAAGCTGTGTTCTCTCACCATAGCCGTTGTCTTGAGTTCACTCAAGCTGTGTGATCGATGTGCTGTCCCTCTCTTCCCGAGGTGGAGTTAGCCTGCAAACTGAACTGCGTCAGCTGTTTGTCCTGTGTTTTTTTAGATGTGCTGTGTCCAAGAGGAACCTTTGCCCTCATTCACTTCTGTGTCATTTTGTTTTGATATTTTATTTATTTTTTTACACCTTTCAAAAGAAGCTGCAGAAGCTCTGAATGGCACAAAGTCAGCCTGAGTGTGATGTGTGGGAGGGGGTGAACGACAAGGCTTTGCCTGACACATGTCTGCCGGGAGAAGGTACACGTGTCCTCAGAACAGGGACATGAGAGCGACTGTAGTGCAGCAGCCTCATATGCACTAACGGAACCCCGTGTATGACTGTGATGTACTGAGAACCTGCCACTCCAGTCAATGCCCTAATTCTGAATTGCCCAATATTTAATGAACTTCTGCTGAAGGAATTGCCCCTTTAATGACGCTGCATTTTGGGAATGGCCACCCAAAGAAGTACATTATCAAGAGAAAGTTTAGTGTTTTAATTTCTCATGACACAGGTGAAGGAATGTCCAAGCATTTCTTAATGATTGCTATTAAGTATTTAATTCACATTATTTATCCATTTGTCAATCAACTGACATTACACTGTTCATGCTGCTGCAATACATATCATTGGCTGCATGCCAGTTTCCACGCACTATTTATATAACCCCCTGCCCGATTTTGACCTGTGCGTTTTCACTAAGTGTTGAGGAAGCCCACCCTTTGTCACCTGCTGTGCTGTGGTCCTGGAGGAACCTCATTTTGTGCCACTGTTTGTCTGTATATGGATGGTATGGTAATGGAGCTTTACTAAAAATATAGGAATTTAAAGTATTTTAAAGCCCCCCCAACACCTTTTTAATGGCATGTTAAATTTGCACTTTGGGCATGTACTGTAAAATGTATGTGTTGCATCAGAGTAGTGTCTTCATATTGCTAAATCTGCCCTTGACCCTTGTGCTTACTCCTTGCAGCCTGGTGCGCAGCCTCTGTCCGTTGACTTAAAGACACTGTTGGCACGTGTGGGAGTCAGTCCTTATCTGTCCTCTGTAGCTTTTACCCAGTTACGGTGTCAGCGCCTGTTGTGCTTAGGAATGGGGGGCCCCCATCCCTTGGTCTTGGTGTTGTCATGGCAGCAGCACAAGTCTTTGACGTCTGTCTGCTTTCAGGTCACCAAGTAGCAGAAAACTCTGCAATAACTGTTTTTTGTCTCCTTGATAGGCATCACCCTTTTTTTCTTTTTTAAAAGGCAAGCATCCAGTTATTTGGCATTGTAAACTAAAGGCTTATTACAAACACTGGACCTCTCAGATATAGCTTAGTAGTGTTGCGTGTGAGGAGGCTCCACAGTAGTGTATATAACCCCCCCAGCACCACCCTGGGAGTGCTAAATAAGCTGTGTCTGCTTGAATTTCTTGCTCATATGTCAGCAATTCCCACAGAAATGCCACAGTTGGACCTTCTCAGTTCCCGTTTGGTTTCTGTTCTGAACTTTCGCCGTTGCTCTTACTCACCCATCTCAAATGCTGTCTGTTGTACTCTGTCTCCACTGCACTGTTTTGAGGCAAGAAAATGTTACAGAAAAAACAATTTGCCGATCACTGTATTCCGGGTGTCTAGATCATTGCTGCTGACCAGCCTGAGTTGTTCACGTATCATTTAGCACGACCAGTCCCCGCATTGCATTGCCATGCGGACATACAGCAGAGCTGTGTGGCCACAACTTCTGGTCACTCAAGCTGCCATGACTTGCGTAGCTCATTCTTAGCCTTGATTCAGATTCACACAGACCACGATCTTTGGTTTGAGTACTAATGTAAGCCATGACTACAGCTGAGTGACTTTGTGCAACAGCATGCCTACTTCCATAATACGTCATTCTTATAGTTTGGGGCAGTCCATGTTATTTACGTTTGGATGCAGAGAGATTACAGTGAAGTAGTTGTTGCAGTAACCTAAAGGGCACTTCATGTGCTCACTCTCAGGAGGTGATCTGGTCACCTGACCTATGTACCTTGTGAACCTGGTAACACGTGCACATCGATAAATGTATCACTTCACGTGTACATGCCTTACACCTTAACCTTTGATGCAGATGGCCATAAAAATATTTTGACCTTTGAGGCTCTGAGATTTGAATCACTATACATGTAGCTGCTGGATGTTCTCCTAATACACCCCCCCCCATTCCAATGGGTGCCTCAACTTCCAATATTCAAGTGACACACACATTGAATTTTTATTAAGTTGAAACTGGACATATTAGTCAAATCTTTCTACCTGAGAACTTTGTTCCTTTGATTTGGAATCACAAATGACTTGGCTTCAGTTCCTACTCTGCACATTACAAAAAACAAAGAATAAGAAATGTTCCATCCATCCATCTTCTGTAACTTCTTGTCCTATTTAGGGTCATGGGGGGGGGGTCTAGAGCCTCTTTGTCAACAATATTGTTTGTTGTCTGAGTGCTTCAGATGTAAAACTGCTTTTTTTTGTTGCTTAGTTTCTTTTTACTTTTGCATGTTTAAAATCAACTTTCCATATGATGTATAAATCTGGAGATGCCACACATTGGTTTCCATACATAATTCTCCATGCCAGGTATTTTTATGAGTGAAACTGTTTGTTAGTAATTCATACTGCATAGTGGGAGATTTATGAAAGCTAGCTTACGTTTTGTGGAAAAAAATACAAAGTCTGCAAGCTTAGTCTACACTCTTGGACTTCAGCAACTTATTCCTTTTTATGTGTTTTTAAAGTTATCAGGAAATCTGCTTTATATAAATGGTAGTAAGGTGTACTGAACTTGTTCAACATGAATCGACACCCTTCACAGGTGTGCCGGGGCGTAGTGGACACTGACTGTATTCTCTTTCTCTCTCCTGAAGTGGGCATGACTAACTGCCCCACCCTCATAGTCACGGTGGGCCTCCCGGCCAGAGGGAAGACCTACATCTCCAAGAAGCTGACTCGCTACCTCAACTGGATCGGCGTCCACACCAAAGGTATCCCTCAGGCCTGTTTAACCCTTTAACACCTCCAGCAGTGCATACTCCTTAGCCATTTCAGCAAAATTTACTGATAAACTTTGTATAGACTTTATCACTTTTCTCTGAAATATGATGCAAACCAGTTTCTTCTGTCACAATCACCGCAGAGTTCAACGTTGGGCAGTACAGAAGAAAATATATGAAGATCTACAAGTCCTTTGAGTTTTTCCGTCCAGACAATGAGGAGGGCTTAAAGATTAGGCAGTAAGATTGTCAATGTTTACCATTTGCCAAGACAATGAATTATGTATTGTGTATGTAATTATGTATGTATGTACAGTGGTACCTCGGTTCTCGAACTCACTAGAACTTGAATTTCTTGAAAGTCGAACAAACCAGTTTCACCTAGAACTCGATCTGAATATAAGAAGTCGAACCGTGAACGCTGACCTAATATAAATTGTACACGGCGGGAAATGAGTCATACTACAAAGCAATTCTTACTTGAATGCCTTCTTCACAGACTGGACGATTAACCAAATAAAGCAGCGCAACATTACAGTAACTAACAATAAATAAACTACTAACTTATGTGTACTATTAGAGCATTTATGTCATTTATTTAAACTTTATTTTACCAGGTAAATTAACTGAAAACCAGTTCTCACTGCTTCACTCACTGATATTCGGGAGAAATAGCAGATTACGCAACGGAACTGCCTGGGATACAAA